CAGTAGACTCTGTTACAATAGAATTTAGTAAATTTAGTTCTGGTTTATAATTTTCTGCAATTGAAATCACTATATGTCCTTTATCTATTTCAACACCACACATTAAAGAAATGTTATTATATGAATTTGATTTTACTGTAAAATCTTCTTGTGCGAATACTTTAATATGTCTATCATTTATTGCTCTATGTTCTAAATCTGAATTAATATTAAAAGTTATTCTATATTGTTCATTCTTTTCATAATATAAAAACATTCTATTATTATACATTTTATAAATGTAAAGATTTTTTTTAAATCACTCTGTAATCCTCATATCTATTTTGTTTTTAAAGTTCTTGCAATATAATTTAAAATGCTTTTACCTTGATGTAAAAAATTACACTTTTTATTATCATTATTTTTATATATTAATGTTTTTTCTCCTTTTTTATTTTTCTTTAATTTACTCTCTACTAATTTACATGGAGTATAATGACAAATTTCTACATTTTCTTCAATTTCTTTTAAATAATGAGCATATTTGCAATTTATATTTTTACATTCTTTTTTATCAAGAATATATTTGCATAATTTAGTTTTAGCTTTTCTTAATTTTAATAATTCTGACTTTTTGGGATGAAACAATCTACACTTTTTATTCTTACATTTTGGGTATTCAGAACATAGAGATAAATGTCTATATTGACATGAAGATTTAGTGCATATGAGTCTTTCCTTTACAGTATTACAATAAGGAATATCATGATTGTATTTACATCTATGTTCAAAATGACAATAATTATCTTTTAAAATATTTTTACAGAAAATGGGTAGTTTCTCTACAAAATGAATTGTTGAAGGTTTTCCATCTTCAGTAAAATTAATATCTACATTAAATGGTTTTTCAAAACTAAATTTTCTGTTTTTATTATGTTTTTTTGTTAAGAAACTATCTATAGCAGGAAAATCATCATTAATAACATTATAAGTTGGAACATAATTAATCCATTTCAGCTTATCTTTATGCAGTTCCATGATTTGAACTGTTTTTAAAGGAATTGGAACTATAGGTTTTTCTTTAACTTCTTCTTCATCATCTGATGTAAAATAAGTAGCTTCATCAGATGTATAATAAGTGTCATCTTCAGAATCTGATTCTTCAAATTCAAATTTTAATATTTCTTCAAAAAGTTTAAATTCTTTTTGAAATTCAGATATTTCATTAATTTCATCATCATACATTTTTCTTTTATTATTTGTAAAAAATACTTTAAATCAAAAAATTGAAAATGAGTTAAATTATTTTCTTTTATATATAAAAAGAATGGAAAACGAAATGCAAAATTCATTTTTAAAATCAATTGAACAAAGATTAAGATTAATAGAAGAAAAATTAAATATAATTGATATTCATGATATTGAAATGACTGAAGATTCTGAAGTTACTACAATTACTACTACTGAAGTTACTGAAATTACAGAAACTACTGAATACGATAATGATATTGAAATGACTGAAGAAGATGATGAAGATAATGAAGATAATGAAGATGAAGAAGATGATGAAGATAATGAAGATAATGAAGATGAAGAAGATGATGAAGTTGAAGAAGTTACTACAGTAACTACTGAAATTACAGAAACTACTGAATATGATAATGAAGATGATGAAGATGAAGTTGTATTTGATAATTAGACTATAGAATTAATAATCTTTTTATTTTTTTACAAAAAATAAAAAAAATTGAAAAATAAGTTAAATAATTTTCTTTACATAATAAAAGAATGAAAAATAAAATTCAAAACGAAATAATTAATCCTTCAACTAAAATATATTATATTACTGCAATATTAAAAAACTATGGGTATAAAAAAAGTAATAAGGTTAACTTTGCTGCTAAATATGGTCGCCTTGATTTAATTAAATTATTACATTATAAAGGATATATAGGAACAAAAAATGCAATTAATTATGCTGCTGAAAATGGTCATCTTGAAGTTGTAAAGTATTTACATGAATTAGGGTATAAATCAACAAGTGGAATTGATAATGCTGCAGAAAATGGTCATCTTGAAATTGTAAAGTATTTATATGAAAAAGGGTATAAAGGAAATGATCTTGCTTTTATGTATGTTGCAATTAATAAACATTTACATATCCTTGAATATTTCCATTCATTAAAGTTAAGAGGTCCTGATGATTTAATTAATTATGCTGCGATGTATGGACATTTAAATGTTATTAAATATTTAATATCACAAAATTATAAGGTTAATGATGATGCTTTTATTAATGCTGTAAAAATAGGACATTTATATATTCTTAAATATTTTATTGAAGATTTAAATTTAAGAGGACCTGAAAATTTAATTGAATATGCTTTTTCCAATTTAATGGAACCTAAAAATTTAATTGAAATTGTTTTTTCTAATTTAATGGGACGAGAAAATGGTCATCTTGAAGTTGTAAAGTATTTACATGAAAAAGGATATAAATAAGAAGCAAGAAGAAAAAATTGAAAATTTAAATTCTTTACATAAATTAAAAAAATGGAATGTACAAGTAAAGATGAAGTTAATAAATTTATGGGTTATAAAAGAAGAATAAGTTTAGCTCGTTATTTTAAAAATAAAAATAAATTACAATGGGAAAAGTTAGAGAAGGAAAGATTAGAAGAAGAAAAGTTAAAAACACCAGATCAAATTTATTATTAGGAAAAGTCACGTGACGTCATTTTAAGAATTTTTCGTAATATTTCATAACAAGAAATAAAATTTAACACTTATTTTAAAAAATCAATTTTTTTTAAAATAAAAAATTATTTCTTATCTAAATAAATTATACACAACATGGTTCAATGTTAACCCCAATATTAATATTAATTTATGGTTGAAAATTTGGTTGAAAATAAAAATGTTGTATGAACTCTCATTTCTCTACTACTCCCAATGGACCAACGAAATGAATGTTCAGCTAAAGCGAATTCCCTTCAAACTTTGACTGAAATGAGATATTAGTTCGAGTTAAGACAATTTTTCTTCATTGAATGCTAAAGTATAAAACTTAAACATTCACCATTATTCAAACAAATAAGTGAAAAATGCTTAGTGAAAGTAGTTTGTATTTACGCTTTACTCTCAAAAACTAACGTTGAATAAAGTTTAACAACGCAATTACTTCTTATTATTATTGTATAATAAAATTGCCTATAAAAAAAGCGATTTTTTTATTAAGAAGCTTATTAAAGCTATAAGATAATTGGATTTTTAGTTATTTAATTATGATTTATTTTGTAACAGTTTTTTTATAGCATTACTTTAAGTCTGATAACAATTTATTCAATTTAGATCTATACACAACAAAAAATTATAGAAATTATTAGGCTGCTGTTATTGATGTTTTACATGGAATAACTTCTTTAAAAAAGTATATATATATTTTTTTAATTTCTCATACAAAAAGTTCAAAGAAATTTGTTGAAAGGGGACTAAAAAATGGTTCGACTTTGAAAAGTTTGAGTTATCCGAGCTTCGACTTAATTGGAGAATTTTAATAGTTATCAGTTAGATGATTTCAAGGGATAGAAAGAAACAGTTCGAGAGAAACCAAAATTCGAGTTAACCGGTGTTGAACTTATTTACAGTTTCGATTATCGAAATTGTAAATAAAAAGTATAGATTTATAGTATTAACTAATAACAAAGAAAAAGTAACGAACAACAGATAAAATTGAAATCAAATAAATCCCTAATAAATATATATGTATAAGAATATATAATAATGATAAAAATACATTAATGATGACAAAATTTATAACAAAATTTTATTAAATAGTTAATCTAATGATAAATAAACAAATAATGAGAGATATTAAAACTGAAATATGAAGCATAAAAATTTTACATGTAATGTGAAAATAAATAATAATATAATAATAGTAAAAAAAAATAATTACAAATAAAATTGTGAACAAAAAAAATAATAAATCTCTTTAAAATTCTTCCTCTTTTTTCTTGTTTATTTACTTTTTTCTCTCCTTTTTCTTTGTTTACTTTATTTCCTTTTCTTTCTATTTTCTAATTTTTTATTTTTTATTTTTTCTTCTTTCCTTTGTTTTTTTAACAAAGACAACAAGAAAACATTTTTAAACTTTATTTTAAAGTTTATTAAAGTTTTTTTTTTTTCAAATAATTTGAAGTTCCTTTTTTTTCCTTTTCTTTTTTATTTATTTTTATTTTTATTTATTTCTTATTTATTTTTATTTATTTTTTTTATTAGTCGATTTTTTTTTTAATCGTTTGTTTTACTTGTTTTTTGTTGTAAAGTTACTTTTTTTTTTTTTTAAGGTTATTTGTTAATTATTTTAAAAGAACATTGTGATCTAACGTTTAAAAGAAATTTTATATTATAAATATATTCGTTTTTCTTTATTCTTTTATTTTTATTTTTTAACCGTTATAAAAATACGACCGTCATTCGCAAGGCCCTACCATTTTTCCAAATTTACATTTACTTTCACAGTGTAAAAGTAAAGGTTGTAAAGTTTACACCGTTGTCCTTGTTCAAAAGCAGTTGGGCATAATTGACTCTCTTATTTTTCTTTTCTTTTACATAACTAAATTAAAAAGTAGTACCTAGCTTTATTTTATGTTTTATTAAATTAACATTGTAGTAATATTTAAAAAGGTTTAGTATATGATAAGAAGGTTTACCAGATTTCATTTCGGCTTTTAAAAAATGATTAACATTAAAGAATTCTTAAATCAGTTAGAACAGCAGGAACTCTAGTTAAAAATAGACTATAGCCGTCACAATGTAATTTAACAATTAAACAAAAAAATGAAAAAAAATAATTTTATTTATTACTACTATTTTAATTAGATAATCTTTAAAAAAAAAAGTGATTTTTTATTCATTGTTTACATTAAAAACCTGTTTAAAAAAAAATAAAATTTTCGTCTTACGTTAATAATAGCAACGCGCATAGTGACCACAACATGCTGTCAATACTGTTGAAGCCTATTTGGCTTCCCGCGAATAATCTATTGGTTATAACTATTTCCCGCAGTGCATTGCGTCTTAAGCCATGCTCTCATGTTAGTTGTATATTATATATTGACCTTACTAACTTACAACTCTTCTTACTATTTAATATATTATTGAAACTCACATTGTAGTTATTTCTTAGTGTTCAAATTATATAAAGTAAACCGTTGAGTAGATTTAAGTACTCAATATTTGGAGCCCACGGAGATATTTGTTGCTGATCCTAAAGTTATCAGCTGTCGTTCAAGTTTATTGCTGATCCTAAAGTTATCAGCTATCGTTCAAGTTTATTGCTGATCCTAATGTTATCAGCTATCGTTTAAGTTGCTGTTGATCCTGAAGTTATCAGCTGTTTAAAGTTGTTGCTGTTCTGAAAGTTACCAGCTGTTATTAAATTTCGTTGCTGATTCTCAAGTTCGAACAAAGATTAAAGTTTGTGAGAAGATAAAGTTGAAGTTAAGTAATAATTGATATTGTACTTGTTTTTTGGGTCAATCCTTTTTTTTGGGGGGTTGTTTAATGCACGTGTTTTTATTTGCATTAAAAAATTATATATATATTTGTAATTTATTTGTGTTTGTGTCAGAATTGACCATAGTTTTTTAAGTAAGCATTATTTAGGTACGTGCGTATCTGGCTACTTACGGCACCGAATTATAAGTAAAAAACTGTGACCGTTTTTTTCACAGCGTGCTCGAAGTCGGTGTGGCAAGGATGTATTTATTAGTCTTGTTTTTTAGAATTTTATATCAGCTTAGACTTTTTTTGAAAAGTAGAATGTTTTAGATTGTATAAATTATGTTTTTTTTCCAAAAGTATTAAGTTTTTCAGTGATTTTATTGCTCTTTAAAATTTTGTTCGTGTTCTGGAAGTGCATTGATATTGAAGGCATGTTGCTACACATTTAAAATTTTCCAGTCAGCTGTGTAAATCTATTTTCTATGTTCCTGCCAAATTTCATTAAAAAATATTCATGCGCAGACACCCTATTTTTCCACCTAGTGGAGGTACATTTTCCACCTTTTTTACAACTACTGTTACTGTTACACTTTATTAAACTGTTTCTGTTAATGTTACTGTTACTTCTTGATATAAATTCCGTTGTTTTTTTTACATATACTAGTGATTTTTATTAAATTTTCAAATTTCGTTTCTGTTCTGGAGGTACATTAATATTGAAGGCATGTTGCTACACTTTTAAAATTTTCCAGTAAGCAGTATAAATCTATTTTCTATGTGCCTGCCAAATTTCATTAAAAAATATTCATGCGCAGACACCCTATTTTTCTGTACAGTGGAGGTATGTATTTCCACTTCCGTTTAGGCGGGGAGGGGGGCGTAATTTGATGGTGAGCATTTGGTATATTAGATTGTTTATTCATAATAATGAGATATATAGATAGTTTTCATTAAAAAGGTATACAATTTTTTTTTCAATAGCCTTTTATTAGTAATAAATGGCTATTGAAAAAAAAAAGTTGTTAGTAATAATATTACTAACACTATTGTTGTTAGTAATAATATTACTAACACTATTGATGATTTCACACACCAAAATTAGTTTCAAGGCTAAATTCTGTTAAATCTAATTTAAAATGCTGAAATAAAAATTATGACACTTTTTTATGGTGATTCAGAATAAAATGCGAAATAATGATAACAAACAAAAACAGCATTTTCTCAATTTTTTTCTGTACCCATAATTTACCATATAACCACCAACCAGCATTATTTATGATATATAAAAATTATATATATCTATAATTTTTTATTGATCAAAGGCAATTTATTAGTTAGTTAATTGTGATTGATTGCTGACCCAATTAAATAGTAATTAAATATTAATAATGATTAAATTACAATTAAAGTAGTGTTATGATCGTTGAATTTAATTTAGTGCATCATGGGACCTAAAAAGAAAACAAATCTATTTTATGGTAAAGCTAAATCTTATTTAGTTTGTAATTTTCCAATACCAGCTCATTTAAATATGGGCTGTAGAAATGGACATGTACTGCATATATTGGCAACTAACAATGATTCATACCAAGTAACTGTAGAACTAATCAGTAAGTATTTTAACATCAACATTTCTCCCAATCAGATTCTGCAACTAGTTAGAAAATCTAAAGTCTTTGTAAAAGCTTTTTCACGAAATTCAAAACAATTTATTGACATCTGCAACATGCTCTTTGAATACCAACCAACAACATCTGCTGTGACTCAAACATCACAGTTAATCACAACCTCTAATCACATTGCTACGTGTTCTTCATTTTTTTCTCAGCAAATCACTGTTTCGTCTCTATCAAATAGTGACTATCAATATCCAGGTTGAGAGCTGACCAGGTTAGTCCCAGAAAAAAGATTATGAGAAAGAGATTAACCATTTTGGAAAACGAAATCGCAGTTAAAAAGAGAAAACGTAAAGAAGATCTTAAAGGTTTAAGAGAAAAGGCAAAGGCTAGACCATACAGATTAAAATATCTAAATCAAGTTATTGCTCGTAAGGAAAAGATAATTCATCAACTTAGAAAAAAATTAAAAGAAAATTTTTTAAATATACAGTTAAAAAAACTTCAAAATCAAATTTTTTATTTAAAACAACAGTTAACATTCACCGAAACCAAGTTTTTTAATCAAAAGACAATTTTATCCCAACAACTTGCTGACAAAAATTCTGCAATTCTTGTTCTTCAAAATGACATACTGGTTTTACAGGAAAAGTTAGAAGATATTCAGCAAGTAACACAAAACACCAAAAATGAAAAATGCTACTCAGCAGATATCAGAACACTTATATATGACATGCTTGTGTGCCAAGTTCCTACACATAGTGTGCCATCTCTGCTCCATAAAATTGGAGAACATACTGGCTATCAATTTAGTCAAATTCCACATCGGACAACTGTAGAACAAATGATGCGTGAGCTTGGTGTTCTTTCAGACTTACAGACTGCTGAGATAGCATTTACAACGAAAGATCTGACACTTGGTTTTGATGCAACAACCCAGGAGGGTGTTCATGTAAATGCTGTGCACTTAACAACCGAATCAGTATGTATGGTTGTAGCTATTGATCAACTTCCTGGAGGTACAGCTTATGACTATCAGAGTCATATTACAAAATCTGTTGATAATCTTGCTAAGTTATATAGTGACTTCTACAAGCTTAAATACACTGATGTAAGAAGCACTATTATCGGGAACATAACAAATACCATGAGTGATAGAGTTGCAACAAACCATGCAACAGTCTAAAAGTTAAACCTAGTTTGGCAGAAATCATTAAATGAACTTAACTGTCACCTTCACCCCTTGGACACAATGACAAGCTCTTGCAAGTCTTCACTTTAAGCATTAGAGACTTCAAAAGGGAAACTTTTTGGAAGAGACTGCATAGCAGCAAACATTGTTGTACAGCTGAACAAACTTCATTACAAGGATGCTAAAGGTACCTATATAGTTTTAAAACCATTCTTTTACTTTAATATAGTGTAGTTTTGTAAATAAAATTACAAGTTAAAAATATATAAATATTATAATTATTGCATGTTTTTAATTCATATTCTCCTTGCAATTCCCAAAACGACTTTCTTTGTGTTATTCATAGGCGATCCAAAGGGTTTTGTAACCTTTTTGGACCAACATGAGTTGCCCAGAGGATTGCTACCACGCTATAGAGGGAACAGACTACATATACTTTTTCACACATGTGGTATTTTGATCCATCATTATGCCATATTGAAGATATTGCTGTGTTCTGGCTTGGCGTTATGTGGAGGTCTGCGAAATAGTTTGTTTCAAGACTTTACATCTGAAATAGGTATACCACTATTATTTACAATATTATAGGTTATAGAATGCATCTTTATAACATAGTAATGACACATGATTAACAAAGAATAAAGACAAATTTTATTTTTTGTTACTTATTAACTAATTTACCTTAGGTATCCGTGAGTTGTGTGTTTTAGCTTTAATTGGAAAGCTACTTTCTGGCCCTTGGATGACAAAATTTTATATTGCACCAGGTACAGGACTTGACTACATATCTGGCATTCAGGTAGTAAAAGATGTTAGGAACACTCTTATTGAGAGCAGCAAGAATCCCTTATCTCTACTTAAACGAAAAACTGATTTCTTTGGTAATGATATTAAAGATGTTGTTTTTGATTCAATAATCAGCTTTTGCCCAGTAACTAATGAAATGAGTAAAGCATTAGGTGACTGTCTTAATGCTGTTATTAGCGTCATTGACAGGCAGTACAAGCGTCAGTTCGAAATGAGTTCTAATGATCTTCTTAAAGACCAGACTAAGTCAGCTAGGCTTCACAACATTGATTCAGAAGAACTTATGGGTATGTTTAGCGCTGCAAAGCACAAAGCTCCTAATGCTACTCTTTGTTTTCTTTCTTCGAAACTTCGTGCTTGCAAAAATAAAACAACTGCTCTGCTTTGTAAAAAGCCAACTGATATTCAAAACAAGTTGATATTATGGGCTATCTCTCATGCCAGGAAAAATCGATTTACAAGTATGCAATGTCATAATGAACTGAAGTTAGAACTGCTAAAACGAATGGCAGATAAAATTCAGAAAAGGGAGGACAAAGACCGCAGAAAGGTAGAAAAAATATTAAAAAGTTGCATGCCCGATCAGGTAAAAGAAATGTTTCCTGACCTAGAAAATAACGAGGCCTCAGATATTGAAGAAATTCTTATTGGAGCTGCTATTGGAAGAAGTATTTGCCATATGTGGTTCGATAATGCCAATAACACCCATGAGGTATATTACGGCAGAATTGTTAGCATTAAAAAGAAGAACAATGATATATATATAGTTTCTTATTGGAAACCAAATGAAAATGAAGATGATGACGGTGTTGAGTATGATATGAGCAAATATCAACTTTCTGCAGACATAATAAGCGGTGATATGGTGATAACATAACAGAATTGTGTAATAATAAGGTATATTTTATTTTAAGTATTAGTATGTCTTATAAACTTGCATTAACAGATAATATTTACAGATATTAGGTGAATTTCTTTTTTTTTTTTTTAAATAAATTTTGCAATGCCTAATATATATCTAATTCCTTCCTTTTTTTGTAGTATTATGAAAAGATTTATAATTTTTAAATTTGTTTTTATATATACATATATTTATATAGAAGTTTAATTTTAGGTAGTCGGGTAGTTACCGACATCCAACAACCAGGGTTGACCTGGTTGCAACGTGCTATGGGAAACCAAAGCTCATTTACTTTTTGACATAAGCAAATTGCTTGGCTTATGACAATTAATGTTTATCATTGATGTTTATCATTATCAATGATGGCAATGCATTTTTCTATCAAGTATAACAGAGTTTCGCTTGCGTGGATTGAGAGATGTTAGTGTTCCATTACAATAAATCCCTTTAAAATTAAAATTTTTATTTATTATTTATTTGCTTGCCATTACCAGAGAGTAATGACCAGATAACTTTTTCTTCATTATAATTTTTAATCAAGTCTTTTATATTTCAGGTTAAACAGTATTGAAGGGTCTGCTATCGATTTTTTTGTTTGGTATCGGGAAGTTTGTTGTGTATCAGGAGTTAAGTGATTTTGAATTTTTTAACTTAATAAATCATTCTTATATTTAGTAATCTCTAATGGGTTTTTCAGTTATGGTGCTAAATATCTAATGCATTTTCATTTATTTTTTATTGCAAGGTTTTAACAATAATGGCAATTAGCTACTGTGGATATTTATGTTAAAGACCTCAAGATTATATTTATTAATTCAGTAATTACAGTTAAATGTTAATTCATTATACATTAGTTAATTGTTAGCCTTAATTTTTTTTTTTTTTTTAATTTTATATCTGATATATATTTTTTTTTATTGCAAGGTTAAACAACATGATGAAAACTACATGGTTGCTTCAGTGGATGTTGATCTTTTTCATATCAAGATTAAACCGGTTAGATCATATTTATTTAGAGGTTTATTATGTTTATTAATGCAGTAATAACAGTTATATATTATTTATTATCCGGGACATAGGGCATCCTTATTAAATAGGTATTGCGATATTAGTTTTGAGAAATTTTTACTTTATTTTAGATATCATTGGATGTGGTTTCCTTTGCGTACTAAAGAATCGACTCTTTCTATCTATGGATGTCACAGTTTTGTTTGCTTCAAAATCTAGGCTTTTTTCAAAGCCACAATTCTGTTAAAAGCATTACTGAGCAAAAAAAAATTTTTTTTGTTAAAGAAGTGTGTTTTAAAATAGTTTTAGTTTTTGCGGTTTGTTGGAATTTATATATAATTAGATATATGGGGCTATGGAAGGGAAAAGGAAGGGGAGCAGTAGTGGACATCCCCCTACCCACCCCACCCATTTGTTTAGTTGGATATTTTTTTAGTAGGTTTTTAGTTAAACTATATGATGTAATTGACACGGCTTTTAAAGTGGGGAGGGGGGCCAACTCCCTAATTTAAAAAACAACAACCTATATTTCTAAAAAAAAGGTCCTCGAAGCAATTAGTGGGGGAGGAGGCATAGCCCCCTATGGTGTCGACGGCCATGAAAGAGGGAGGTTGGACCCCTTCCGTGAATGAATTTTTTGTTTATTTAGTTGGCAAAATATATCTTTATATCTATATCTTTCATTGAAAAAGATAAAAATAAGCATAAATAGAGAGCGAAAACGCTAAGGCTTTAAATGTCTTTAAAGTTCATCTATACGCTATAGAAAACCTAGCCTTGCTACATATTTAATAACATAAATATATATAACCTTAACCATTATTATGTATAAATGTATATATATATATATATATATATATATATATATATATATATATATATATATATATATATATATTGTAAGTATCGTTAAAATACACGATATTTTATTTAAAATTTTGTTATAAATTTTAATATTAGGTTTTTATCATTAAAAATATTTTTGTTATAAATTGTTAAAAAAATTTTGTTATATTAAAAACTTTTTTAAAAATGTTATTAACTCGTTTTGCACATTTCACTAAGCAAAATCATGCGCAAATTAACAATAACGTTCTACAACGAAGCTACCGTTAGCCGAACGCGAGTTTTTTACGATGGTTGCATTTTTCCTAAGCAATCCTTCATAAAAAAAAATGTTACTTAAATAAGCATAACTTTTTTTGTAATTGTTCGTTTTTCATAAAATTTTCACCATTTTAATATAAATTCAAAGCTCTTTCGAACTATATATAATACTTAAATGAATAAATGGTTTAAAATTTTTACACACGTACCTACATTATTTGTTGTTGACATTTATAGGGTTTTTATATAATGTCGAGTATTGCTGGAAAACGACGTGTTCGTACCATTACGGTCACTGCTGTTAAAAATATATTTGAAAGGGCCAATGAGTGTATGACTAATTTTAGCCAGGATAGTAACTCTTTTGAGGAACTATCTAGTTTTAAGGAAGTTTTGATCAAAAAATATAATAAAGTTAAAGCAATTGATGATGATTTGATCAATTTAATTGAAGATGATGAGGAATTGTTAAATGAAGAAAATTTAGCTAATGAGTTTTCTTTATTTTTCAAAAAGAACATGAAAATAATTGAAAAATTTAATAATAATATTTATAAAAGTATTAACGAGTCGCAATCTAGCAGTTTAAAAAGTTTTTCAAATATAAACATTAAACTTCCACCTTTAAAATTAAGTACCTTTAGTGGAAAGCCAGAGGAATGGCAGACCTTTTATGAAAATTTTGAATGTGCCATCCATAATAATAATGATCTTTCCCCAATACAAAAGCTTAACTATCTAAGAAATTTACTTGACGGGAAAGCTTTGAAAACAATTTCAGGCTTAGCATTAACAAATGACAACTATCATACATCATTGGAGTTACTTAAGGAAAGATTTAATGATAAACAACTGTTAATTTCGACACATATGAAGTCACTTCTATCTCTAGAGAGAGTGCAAAGTATTAACAACATTTCTTCATTAAGACGTATTCATGATAATATCGAAGTTCAAATTAGAAGTTTAGAAAACTTAGGTATAGATTCAACTATGTATGGACCTTTATTGATTCCTATTATAATGCAAAAAATTCCAGAGGAGTTAAATTTGATTATTGCTAGAAACTTCGATTCCTGTGATTATTGGGATATAAAATATGTTTTAAAATCTTTAAAAACTGAGTTGCAAGCTAGGGAAAAAGCTCACTCAGGTAGAGAGTGTAATTTTGATCCTTCAACAGCAGAAGTATTACATTCTAGTGCTTCCTTTAAGCCACAATATGAATTAAAATGCATTTTTTGTAGTAAAAGTCATAAAAGTGAAAGTTGTAAAACTGTAACAAATATAAATTCAAGGAGAAATATTTTAAGAGATAAAAGGCGTTGCTTTAATTGCCTCAAATCAGGTCATATGTCTAAAGATTGTCATTCTAGAATAAGCTGTTATGAGTGCTCAGGGAAGCATCATATTTCTATGTGTTTTAAAAAGTTTCCTTTGCATATTGATGATAGTAAAGAATCAAACAATAAGTTAACGTCTGTTGCTACTACAGAAGCATTAAAATCTAAGAATGTATTGTTACAAACTGCTATGGTTACAGTAAAGAATAAAGATAAGACACTAAGATGTCGCCTTTTATTTGACAGTTGTTCTCAGCTGAGTTATATTTCTCCATCATTACGAAAGAAGCTCTTTCTACCCACATTAGGTAGAAAGCAATTAAATATTAAAACTTTTGGAAATCAGAGCCAAACCCAGAACTTAGAGATGGTTAAACTTTCTATACTGACTTTAAAGAACTCCTTAATACCTATAACTTGTTTTGTTAAGCCCATATGTGCTCCTCTTAGTGGTCAGTATATAGAGGAGGCTGTCGATTCCTTTGAACATTTAAAAGGAATCAATTTAGCTGATAGTAATGTAGATTGCAAATCATTGGAAGTAGATGTACTTATTGGAGCGGATTATTATTGGTCATTCTTTAATGGCAAGGTAATTCGCGCCAATACAGGTCCTGTTGCTTTACAATCATCAGTTGGTTATATATTAAGCGGAAATGTAAATGCATCATCTGGAAAAGATTGCTCTGTCTTTTCCACACATACTTTAAAAGTTGAGACGGAATTCATTAATGAAATTCCCCAATTTAATGAGAATATTAAGAAATTTTGGGAACTAGAGAATTCAGGAGTGGAAGATAATATTTTTGATCATTTTAAAAGTAATATTTATTTTGATAATAAAGAGTGTAGATATACAGTTAAATTACCATTTAAAAATAACCATGCATTATTGAGCGATAACTATAGTTTATGTATAAAACGTCTGAATGTAATTCTTAATAAATTAAAAAATGATTCTGAGCTATTAAATGAATACAATAAGATAATTATAGAGCAATTAAATTCAGGGGTAATAAAGAAGGTAAATAATTATGATTCGAGTATTAGTGAGGTGCATTACTTGCCACATCGCCCAGTATGTCGTAAAGATAAAACTTCAACAAAAGTGAGAATTGTTTTTGGCGCAAGTTCCACTCTATCGGGTCCATCATTAAATGATTGTATAAATGCTGGACCAAGTTTAGCTACACCTTTATTTTTTATATTATTACGTTTTCGTGCTAATAAATATGCCTTTATTGCAGACATAGAGAAAGCATTTTTGCAGATTGCCCTTGATAAAAATGATAGAAATTATTTGCGTCTAATATGGTTTGATGATATTTATAATATTAATAATAGTAATTTGTTTTCATCTGCATTGGCTACATATCGTATATGTAGAGTGCCTTTTGGTGTTACTTCATCTCCATTTCTCCTCAATGCCACATTAATTTATCATGCTGAGAGATATTGCCTTAATGATAATAATATTTCCTCAAAGTTGTTGCAATCCTTGCATATAGACGATTTGATTTCTAGCTGTGTTACCATTGAAGAAGGTATTTTATTTTTTAATAAATGTAAAGACATATTAAATGAAGGAGGTTATAACTTAAGAAAGTTTGAGTCTAATTCTTCAGCCTTTGAGAAACAAATTAACGGTGACAATTATGAGAGACAAACGAATACAAGAGTTTTAGGCCTCAAATGGAATAAGACAGAAAATTCAATAATTTATTCATTTGAGGATTTATTAAATGTAGCCTCAATAGTTCCAACAAAGAGAGAAGTGATGAGTTTCATTGCCAGTATTTATGACCCAATAGGTCTTATTAATCCAGTAGTTGTAACTTGTAAAAATTTATTTCAAAGGATTTGTGTTTCTAAGTTAGGTTGGAATGAAAATTTGTATGGTGATTTATTGTCTACTTGGAATCTTATTTTAAGTGATTTCAAATCTGTTTTTCAAATAGCAGTACCTCGATGGTATATGAGTCCTGGGTTGGGTAATATAAATAATGTAAAATTTGAATTACATGGTTTTTCTGATGCAAGTGTTAAGTCGTTTGGGTGTTGTGTTTATCTTAGATTTTTTAATGCTAATTTTAGTCGTGCCTCTTTGATAGCCTCGAAGTCTAGGGTTGCCCCATTAGGCAAGAACACAATGCCTCGATTAGAGCTTTTTGCAACTTTACTTTTAGCAAAGCTATTAGCATCTATTTACGATCAATTGATATCTATTTATAACATTTCAAATATAATATATTGGACTGATTCAACAATTTGTTTGCATTGGATTTTTAATACTAATAATACCTATGAACAGTTTGTACAAAATCGTTTAAATAAAATAAGAGAATTGACTTTAATTTGTAATTGGAACTATATTGAATCCTTTAGGAATCCTGCAGATATAATATCACGAGGATCTTCGCTTAAGAAATTAAATAATAATGAACTTTGGTTTTATGGACCCAATTTTTTAAATGATATTAATATTAAATGGCCATATTATGAACATGTTAATCATTCAAATGAAACACTTGAAGTTTTGTGTAATGTGGTACATGTTAAGGTTAATGTTAATCTTGACTTTATTAATGTTGATAAATTTAGTGATTTTAGGTATTTACTTCGAGTAACATCGTGGATTCTTCGGTTTATCAATAATGCGAAAGATAAAAAGAAGAACATCTTTAAGACTGGTTTAATTACAGCTGAAGAAATAGATAATGCAAAGCGATTGTGGATTAAATTTTCACAAATAAATCTAATCGATGAGAATAAATTTAAACAATTGCGAAAAGATTTACGTTTATTTGTTAGCGATGGTATATATCGATGTCGTGGCAGAATTGAACATGCTGATTTAGAATATGATACAAAGTTTCCTATTTTTATTTTCAATAACTGTTATTTTGCTAAATTATTAATTTTACATTTTCATAAGCTTGTCAAGCACAATGGTGTGAAAGAAACAATTAATGCTTTAAGATCCCAATATTGGATACCTTGTTGTAGGCAGTTAGCAAAGAGCGTGATACGAGAATGTACAACTTGTCGACGTATAGAGGGTAGGCCTTATTCATACCCACCTGCTCCACCTTTGCCTGAAAGTCGTTTAAATTCTGATTTCGCCTTTAAAAGTATTGCTTTGGATTATGCTGGTCCGCTGTATATTAAAGATATTTATGGCGATTGTACGTTGAATAAAGCATGGATTTTCTTATTTACATGTTGCAGTAGTCGTTCGATTTTATTAGACTTAGTAGCTGACTGTTCATCTAGATCATGCATTATGGGTATCTGTAGATTTATTGGAAGACGGGGTGTTCCAGAAATTATTTATTCAGACAATGGTTCACAATTTGTTTCAACTGAAACTCAGTACTTTGCTGCAAACCATTCTATAAAATGGAAGTTTAATGCGCCTTCGGCACCGTGGTGGGGAGGGATGTTTGAGCGACTAGTACGAATGACTAAAAGATGTTTGAAGAAAGCCTTAAAGAATTCGAAGTCTTCTTATGAAGAAGTACGAACGTTGCTTTCTGAAATTGAAATGGTACTAAATAACCGACCATTAACTTATTTGTATAACAATCAAGGTGATGAAGCACTCACACCTAATCACTTAGTTTTTGGACATAAGCTTAAGCTTGAATCAAGTCTTAATGCTTGTAACGATATAGAACAAGATGTGCATATACGAAACAGTATGTTATCGAATACATTGAGTCATTTTAGAAGTAGATTCAAAAGTGAGTACTTGACAGAGTTGCGTGAATATCATAAATCAAAGCGGAGTAATGGATGTAATGGTATTCGTGTTAATGACATTGTATTAATTGAAAATGATAACTGTAAAAGACAATTATGGAAATTAGCACGTGTTAAAGAATTGTTATATTCAAACGACGGAGTTGTTCGCGTTGCTAAAGTTTGTTACAAACAAGAGAATGGTAGTTCGTGTTTAATTACTCGACCCATTAATAAACTATATCCTACTGAATATTCAGACAATGAAAAAATAGTAACTGTTGCCTTTATTAACGAGAAGAATATTCCTTTACTTGTAAATGGTGGCCGGGAGTGTTGAAGCCTATTTGGCTTCCCGCGAATAATCTATTGGTTATAACTATTTCCCGCAGTGCATTGCGTCTTAAGCCATGCTCTCATGTTAGTTGTATATTATATATTGACCTTACTAACTTACAACTCTTCTTACTATTTAATATATTATTGAAACTCACATTGTAGTTATTTCTTAGTGTTCAAATTATATAAAGTAAACCGTTGAGTAGATTTAAGTACTCAATAAATACCATCATTTTTATCTCTTATAAAAAATAAAGAATGACATCTATGTACTTTAATATATATCTACTAAGTTTTAAAATACTTAATATATATATATATATATATATATATATATATATATATATATATATATATATATATATATATATATATATATATATATATATATATATATATATATATGAGAAAGTAGCATAAGATGAGTAGGTTTCTAAGATGGTATAAACTCTTTAAAGGGTATACAACTAAATTTTTTGTTAATTTTTTTAGTTAAATATTCATACAAGTTCGACGGTGTTAATTGTTTTAACTTCTTGATTGTATTGTTAATCCTTTTATTATTATATTGTTAAAAAAATTTACCATTTCCGTTATAATTTTTATTCAATATTTTGTAATTACGTCAGAACGAAATAAGATCATCAAAAGTTTATTATACTCTTACTATTTTATGCTTTTCTACTGATAATTCCATGGGTTATATGAGATAATACATAAGCTGTTGTCATGTTATTTATAGCACTGTTAGGTTATGTATAGTACTGTTAGGTTGTGTATAGCACTGCTAGGTTATCATACCTATAATAAAACTTGATGAAGTTGCTTAAGATGATACGTTTTGAAACCCTCAAAATAAGATTCGGCTTTTATTAAGAAAAGTGCGTTTTTTAAAGTCATTTTTAATGGAGCTTTATTTTGGTATTTCAAGAGCGGAAGTTTTTTTAAAAAATATATCGCAAACCTTTTTTTGCTTGAGAATATTACATTATATATATATATATATATATATATATATATATATATATATATATATATATATATATATATATATATATATATATATATATATATATATATATATATATGTATATATATATATGTATATATATATATATATATATATATATATATATATATATATATATATATATATATATATACTTAAAGATACAATGTTATATATATATATATATATTTTGATTGATGAGTTTTTATTGATGAAACACAGTGTTAAATGAGAAAAAAATTTGCTAAGTGATTTTCTACTAATTTATATATATATATATATATATATATATATATATATATATATATATATATATATATATATATATATATATATATTTTTTTTTTTTCTTTTTTTTTTTTTTTTTTCTTTTTTTTTTTTCTTTTGAGTTTTTTGAGTTCCATTATAAAAAGCTCATCTTAGAAAACTGGTTTCCTAAGATGAGATGACTGGGTGTGTTAAAAATAACGAAACTTTTGGTATACAATTTTTTTAATGAATTATTTATATTCTTTAAGAAGAAAGATTGGATTATAATAATCTGCAAAAATAAAAATAAATATTTCAGCTGCAAAAAAAAAATACACTGTTTTTTTTTTTTTTTTTTTTTTTTTAGTGTATTTTATTTCGCCGTTAAAAAATTTTTACATTGCATATACATTTTTATAAATTGATGGCTGGAGCAAGAAGAAGACACATTTCGCCTTATCGCCGAGCCCCATTAAAAATTCTACATAACCGTAACATACAAATATAAATATAAAAGAAACAATTAGAAATGAAATAGAAAATAACTAATATAATAAAAAAAATAAAAAATAAGAATTAATTAAGAAGCGTTAAGATGCTATATCCATCCTTCTTTTATATATGTTTCGATTGATTAATTCGTAAATTGCTCATTGAACATCTTCATTTTTATATTCCTTTTTTTTGCATTTTTCTTTATTTTTATTTTTTTCGAATGTTTTAATTTTAGTTCAACGGTATCTCAAGATCCGCATAAAGTTAAACATTCAAATATTTAGAAGTTGTTTAATACTTTAAATTTGTGCCGGAAGCGATCTTTAACAAAAGTATTTTTTTTATTTTTGAAAAACTTGTATCTCTGTCAACATTTATTCAAATTTAAAGACTCGCTAACTTTTGTCAAAAGTAACTTTAAAAATATAAAATAATCCTGCTTCAGGATTATCAATTTGTTTTTTTCAACTTTTAAAAATTTTAGCTTGATAGCACGTGTATTTTTCAAGCAATAGTTAATTTATGTAACTCATTCTTTCTATATTTGTATGCTGACGCAGTTTAGAACTTTTATTTAAAAAAAAAAAAAAAAAATTTTAAAGTTTCACTTATTATTTATATTTTATAAATATTTTGAACTTAATTTTTGTTTTTTTTACCATGGATTTACCTTAATTCTTTTAATTTACAAATTTAAAGCGGGCATTGTAAAAAGCGCAACTGTATACCATTGTGGGTACTTGGTAAAATGCGAACTGCGAACCGCGAATTGCTAACCGGTAAAATGCGAACTTTTTTGCAAACCATAGCTCTATTGGTTGTTAATGATGTTTTTTATTTTCCGTTTACCGTTAAATTATTTATTTTCTATATATTTTATGGACTTCAAGCAGAAACATAAATTATATTTAATTTAAAAGAAATACAATCTAATTTGAATAAAATATACCAAATTAAACTATATTTAATTTAAATGAAAATATTGACAAGCAAAAGTTTTTTTAAATATCATTACCGTTGTGGTCAATAAAATATAATGTCTTGGTTCGCAAAAAAGTTCGCATTTTGCCGAACAGGTTGTGGTTTGAAATTATAGGACATTTTTTTGTGGTTTAAACCAAAAAGTACATGCTTAGCACTCTAGCGGCAAAGTTTCAATAAATAGACCTTTCAATTGAAGGAAATAAATTGTATGTTTCCAGCTTTTAATGAATAAATATTGTGAATATTGTTTAACTATATTTTATAGTATACACGTGCTTCATTTATATATTTACATAAAGCTACACTTTTTAAATATTTTAAGTTGGAGAACCTGTCGTACTATGACCACGTTGTACCTCGAGTCACTCCGCCTAGTCGGCCTACTACAATTATTATAAAAAATTATGAGGTGCCAATAAAAATTATGCTAGTTAGTGCCATATGAAATCAAGTTAACATTGATGCTTTGGACCTTGTGTGCCAAATGAAATCAAGTTAACATTGATGCTTTGGACCTTTGTATACCAAGGGTCCCTTGGACCCTTGGTACACAAAGGTCATTTTTGATGCATAAAACTTATTGATGAATAAAATTTATAATTTATTTGTAATAAGTATTATATTTATGAATGCATAAAATTTATTGGTTCCTTACAAAGATTGTAAGGATTATGAGATTATGAGACACAAAGATTGTAAGGATTGATTTTTCTGATTTTTTTTTAGACAACTTAGATTGTTTACAAAATAGTTGCATATGTATTTTGATTGATATGAGGTCAACCAGAAGTTTCTTTATAGTATAACAAGCCATAATATTAAAAAGGTATTAATATTGCATGATTTTTTAATAATAACATTTTTAGCCAAAAGAACATCACATCTTGGTTAAAGGTACAACGTACATGTTGTACCCAGGAACACTAACGTCTTTTTTAAAATGCTGAAAAAGAAAACTACTTGGTTGAATCAGAGTTAAAAAGTCTAAATTATAATTTTTGCGTAAGTATGAGAAAATAATACAAACTTTGATTGGTTTAAATTTATTGAATAGACTACGCAAAAGTATTTATTTAAAGTGAACGAAAAATATTGTTGTATTTTTCGTTAACTTTTAAAATTTAGGCAGAATTGAGATACTAATAGTTTTTTTATGGTTCCTTCTAGATGTTGTTAAGAACTAATTGAAGGTTGTATCTTGACTGAAACAGAGCAAGAAGAAACAGGGGTTTGATCTGTAAAAATTGATACGAATATCAAATATTCAATAACGATGAGACATCACAGTTTATCAACCTTGGCGTTGATAGTACTCTAGCTGGTTTTGTTTTTGCTCCAAAAAGAGAAACATGTCATATAACGATGAGAGAAAACTGTGAATGTGTCACCGTACATCCTTTATTGCTTTCAGGTAACTATCTTCATACCAACTTTTTGATAGTTATTAGTAAAAGAGATGACTTGGTATTATATCACTTTGTGTTTTACGAGACCTTTGTGTATGTCAAGTACTCTTTGCTACTGTTGGAATTACAAACCAAATTGATCTACAGGACGCTGAGACAATTGTTAAACATTTACTGGTCACAAAGTACAACCATAGTGCATCTATCACAAGTCGTTAGAGATATACAAACAGTGTGACAAATATCTTGCTGAAAAAAATGTGGCACGCCAGTAATTCTGAGATCTGATCGAAATTGTTCATGCTTTAATTTTGATATCTAACAGTTTTTAATTTTTAAAAAAAGGCATTTTTTTAAATCCACTTGATAACACCGGTGTGATATAGCTTCCGGATCAACTCAACAAATATCTCCACCCGGAGTATCGTGGCTCATGAATATATATATATATATATATATATATATATATATATATATATATATATATATATATATATATATATATATATATATATATATATATATATATATATATATATATATATATATATATATATATATATATATATATATATATTTAAATATTTATTAATTTTAACTCACTAAATTAAGAAGCGTTCATGACGATCTTAGAACATATTTAGGACAACTGGGCTCCAAAGCAAACCATAGTAAAAACTACAAAACGTTTAAGCGTAACTATCTCATTGTTAAACGTCTATAATATGCAACAGGACAATTTTTTACCAGCTGGTCTTTATATTTATAATTTCAAAAGTATTCAATTTAGTACACCAAATCCTAAAAGAATCATTCCTGGAATCACTTTTAAATGATATAAGACTGAATTTCATGATAAATTAACATATTCAGCTCAGTATTAAGAATTTTGAGAAATAACAATAGCCGAGCAAAATAAGCATTCAACTTAAAGAAATCAGCTGACAGTACAAAAAGTGAAGCCAAAAAAATTTATACTAGGGTTAATACTGTTGTTTTTTCCAACAACAG